AGGAATCGGACCTGTGAGAAACATGTACAGAAGAAGCAGCAAATAGAGCCAGTGAGAGGGACAGGGAGACCAAGAGAAAGAAGAAGAAGAGCGTGACCAGAGAGGCAGAGCCAGGAAAGGCTGAAGGAGGCAGGCGGGCTGGGACTAGAGTGTGGCAGGGACAGGGCTGGCCAGGGAAGGGGCCAAGGCAGCCCTGGCCCATCCTAGGGCTTGGCCAGGCCTTCCTCGGGGACTGAGGCCCCAGATCACTTGACCACAGGCCAGGACTCCTGCCCAGCATTCAGACACCACCCTTTTGCCTGCACCCCATGCTGAGTGTCCCCTACGGCAGGGGCATATGCAGTTGGCCAAGGTAGGGTGGATAGCTGGACCTAAGACCTCCCAGGCTCCACCCCGGAGCCCAAGGCACCTGCTAAGTGGCACTTCCTAGCTTGCCCACACAGTTGGGATAGGCCTTACCAAGCCAGCCAGGCCCTTTGCAAGCCCTGGCACCTGGCACAGGGTAGCTGAAACTTCAGCTTGGAGTGGGGCACTGTGGAAGCCCAGGGTTTACAGAACCAGGCCTTGCCTCTCAGTCACACCCCCCGGGCCCACGGACTCAGGCCGCCCCAGGTAACCCACCCACCTACTCACAGCTTCCTGCGTGCACTAGGCCTGCGCTCTTTGCTGCCAGCCCCGCACACATGCCGTCTAGCTGTCCTGTTGTCCTGGATCACAGGGCACCTGCATCCTGACCCTAGCCACCCACTGCCACAGTGAAGGCAGAACACAGAACCTGGAATGCCACTCAGCCACATTCCAGTTCTGGCCCTCTGCTAACTCACCATGCGACCTTGGCAGGTCACCACTCTTTGCTGCCCCTCATGGAGTGTCCTGGCAGAGGGACCAGGTGCCCACCAGGGGCCAGGCATGCTAGGCTAACCAAGCAGTGCAGGCCCTGTCCCTGCCCTGCAGACCTGTCCAGCTGGAGGGCAGGCTGCCAGCCCAGGCCCCATCCCATCAGGATGGGCGGGAAGGGGAATGTGTGGAGGACACAGAGGGTGTCTGTGTGTGCTGGGGGTACTCTAGGGCGGACTCAGAGGGGGCTCAGCTTCTTCCTCTGGAAATGGAGTTAGTGTCAGGGTGCACCTTGGCCGGCTGTGAGGATGAAATGAGAACATCCGAGGAAGAGGCGCGGCAGAGCCACTGATCAAGCAACAACCATGCTAATGCCGTTGTCCCTGCTGCCAAGACAGGGCGCCCAGCTACCTTTGGGCCCAAGCATCTCAAGAACTGAGCTCCCTGAAACCAGGAACTTGTCCCAATTTCCCAACTTCCCGTGCTCACTCTGCTCCAGCCCCTAGGTCTCCCTGGGGTTCTGCAAACACACAGGCACCTTTCACTGCAGGGCCTTGCACTTGCGGCTGCCCTGGTCTGGGCCGAGCCTTCCTCAGAACCCTTGGGGGCCCTCGCTGTCTGCCCTTCCTCTCTTTGGGTCTGTGTTCAAAGAGCTGCTGTCAGGAACTCCAGTGAGGCCTTAACCGTCCTTCTCTGAAATGTCACCCTCTCTCCCCTCCCACTGCCCGCTTTCCTGCTATGGATGGGGCCTGCAAGACAGTCCCTATTTTACTGGATTTAACACTGGTCTCCCTGCTGGAATACCAGCTCCCTTTCTTCCGTCTTGTCCGCTGCTCTGCTTGCAGGGCCTAGAACGTTCAAACTGATGCTGGTCTCATCTTCAAGGCAGGCCAGAGAAGTCAAGGCACTTCTCTATGACCACACAGCTAACGGACAGAGGCAGACGGAGAGAAGGCTAAGTGAAGGAATTTGGAGAAACCAGCTTGGCCCGTCTCGCCCCCTTCCTCCTCTCCATCGCAGTCTGCAGATCAGGCCGTGAAAGCAGGGCTGGGGCACCAGGAGTCTGCCTGTAGCTTGGGGAGACCACAGGGCACCGAGGAGGGAGGGCCTGGGAACGGGGTGGCTGGTGGAAAACAGGAAAGGTTCGCTCAAATGGCAGAGCTGGCCAGCAAAGGGGGAGGCCTTTGAAGGCTTGACCTCAATGACCAGGGGGGAGTCTGAGGCTCAGAGAGGTGAGGCAGCTTGCTCTGAGCTTTACAGCAAAGGTCAGACACTGTGTTAACAACAGGGAGTGCCCGCTTCATGCCAGACGCTGTGCTAGACTGAGCGACTGTATTTCCTCTTCCTACCAACACTTGGGGGTAAATAAACTTCGCCTCGTGTCCATTTTAGAGGCTAGGAAACTGAGGCTCAGAGACAGAAAGGGGCTTGGCCCAGATCACACAGCTAAGCGCGGTGTTGGGGTACCAACCCCTTTTGGGTATGGCCTGAGGAAACCATGATGACATGGACCTGGTGCCCAAGTCAGGTTTGAAAAAAATCACACATGGATTATGGAATTTCGAGGCTGGGTGGGTCCGTTTCTGCTGACCTAGGATCCAATGAGGCCCAAGGTCATGTAGCCACTTACTGCAGAGACAGCATCAGGCTGGCCAGGCAGGGAGGCAGTAGCCCCAGGCTCACCCCCAGGCCACAGCTGTGTAAGGTGGGAAGCACAAAGCTGGCAGGAAGGTGGAGGTGGGTGTGGCCCCAGGCACACCCCCAGGCTGTGTACATGGAGGGACAAACAAAGCTGGCGTGATGGTGACACCCAAGCAGAGGGGCCTCTTGCAGCTCCCAATCACCTGATGGGGTTCTCAAAGACACTTCCTTAAACCCTGGGCATACTGGGCCCTTTCTGGGCCTGATAAGAGCCAGGCAACAGATTCCTGGGTCAGGTGAGTGTCAGAGAGGGGGTGGGGGGGGATGCTTGCTGGAGCATGAATGATGGGCAAAGCAGGAAAGAGCCAGGAATGGGCCTTGGCTTGCAAGGAAAGGGCAGAGGGGAGTAAGGGGCCCCACACTGTGATCTGGTCTGGGGAATATGGGGACTCCACTCTAGTCCTAATGGAGGGGCTGATAGAAGGATATGGAGGAAGGGCAGGGGCTGGGACTTTCTGCAGCTTAGAGACCCTGAGTTAGGGTTCCCTGAGCAGAGCGGCCCACATCGCTAGGTTGGAGGGGAGGGGAGGTCACTGTTTGCAGCCCAGGGACCTGGTTGGGGTACGGATGAGGCGCCAGAGTGTGGATTCCCCATCTAGGACACCCCAAATGAGGTGCGACTTTTAGGAGGCCAGGGGCAGTGCCTGTGGCTGACAGGCTGCCTTCAGCTTGGACCGAGTAGTGACGTGGGGGGTCCGGGGGGGTCCGTAAGTCTAGGGGCACTCTTTGCAGGAGAAGGTGCTCTCGGGCCAGGATTCCGGATCTGCAGGGACAAAGAAATGGGTGTTTGCAGCCTAGGGCGTTGAAATGGTAGTTTCTCCGCCTGGGGAGCGTCGGTGCAGCTAGAAGCCCCGGAGCCGGGTTCTGGCTAGGGCGAGACACTGGGGCGGGGTCCCAGACCTCGGGGTGCTATTTGCAAGTTCGAAGCTCAGCATGGAGTTCTGCATTTAGGCCTGAGGCTAAGGTTCTAATCTGAGGGGCCCAGGATCGCTGTCCACGGCCGGGGCTGGTGCTGCAGGCCCGGCGGGGGGCCCGGGAGGTCCTACCTGGCGAGTAGAGCGCTGCCAGTTCGCGGGCCCCGGCGTGTTGCGCGCCCCAGCGGCAATTCGCCGCCTCATCTTCATCCAGCCCTGGCTGCTGGCCCGGCCCGTCCTCGGCGCCCGCCACGG